ATTACCGGGATACCTCAGGGATATGTTTAAAAGACAATATTCAAAATAAAGTTGCTAGTAATGGCAAATCAATTGATCAACAAACAACGAGAGATAGCAGAGGGCAACGAGTGACTAGCTCCCTAAAGGTTTACTATACAAATAGTAGGAGTCTAAGAAATAAGATAGATGAGCTAAAATTACTTGCAAGTGTAGTAATATAGATATTATTTGGGATAACAGAGACCTGGTTCAACCTGAAAGATAGAGAAATGCCTTCTGAATACAACATACAGGGTTGTAAACTATTCCACACTGATAGGGTCAACAGGAAGGGGTGGTGTGGCGATGTATGTCAGAGAAAATTTAAATTGTTGTCTTAGACATGATATAAGATTAGAAACATCGAACACAGAATCGGGTTTTGGGTACAGTTTCTCGAGGGGCGTGACAAATTAATTTGGGTGTGATTTATAGGCCCCCAAACCTTGATAGGGAGTGCAGTAAGCTGTTATGGACGAAATTCCATAAGGCACTAGATATGAAAATGTTGTGATAATGGGAGATTTTAAAATTTAAAACAAATTGATTGGAACAATATGAAGGGAAAACTTGAGTCCCAGTGACTTTCCTTTATACGGTTCAGGATTGCTTTTTAGAACAGGTTGTGATGGAACCAATAGAGGAAACAATCTGCTTGACTTGGTTTTTGTCAACAAAGATATCACTAATTAATAAAACTTGAGGTTAATGATGAGCTTTGGGGGGAAAATGATCACAAATCACTTAGTTTCAAATATCATGGAATTACCCAGATAACTGCAATCAAATCTCTGTCCCAGATTTTCGCTTGTCGACTTCATGGACTGAAAAAAATTTCTTGGGTGGGCTAAATTGGGATGTCCCTGACTATGGGTCAGGTAGGTGATCTTGGTTGCCAATATGACGTTTTTCAGAGCATAGTTCGAGCTGCCCAGACAACTTTTGTTCCGAGTAGGGAAATTAGATCTAACAAAAATATCCCAAATGGATGAACAATAGATTAAAACATCTCATTGGTCAAAAGAGAGGCATATAGAGGCGTATCAAAAGAGGGGATGGGCAGTTAAGTAATCAATATATTCAATTAAAGAGAGAAATAAAAAAAAGGGATAAGAAAAGCAAAAAGGGATTATGAGGCTAAGGTCGCAGGGGATTCAAAGACTAACCCAAAAGGGTTCTTTCAGGTATACAGAAGATTAGGGACAAGATTGGCCCACTTAAGAGTAACTCTGGTCAGATCACTGACAGTGATAAGGATATGTGTGAAATTCTAAATACGTACCTACTTCCTCTCAGTTTTCACCCAGGAAAATACTAGCGATATTCCTGAAATAATAGATTACGTAGAACAGGATGATAATAAACTATGTACGATTGCGGTAACTAGTGACATGTCCTCAGACAAATAGAGAAACTAAAACCTAACAAATCCCCAGGTCCGATGAACTGTTTGCAAGGGTGTTAAAAGGGAAAGTAAAGAGGAACTTAGCATACCTTTGGCTAATCTTTTTAACATATCACTACAAACTGGCATATTGCCTGATAAGTGGAAAATGGCAAATGTAATACCTATTTACAAGGCAAAGGGGACAGGTCCTTGGCTTCGAACTATAGACCAATAAGCCTTACCTCCATAGTGGGAAAATTTATGGAACAATAATTGCCGAAGCAATTTGTAGCCATCTTGACAGGCACAGATTTATTAAAGATTCTCAACATGGTTTTACAAAGGGCATTCCTGTCTTACGAATTACTAACTTTTTTCACTAAGGTGTTTGAGGAGGTAGATCATGGTAATGAAATATGAATATTGTGTATATGGACTTCAGTAAGGCTTTCGATAGAGTTCCACACCAGAGGCTATTGAGGAAACTTAAGGCACACGAAATAGGAGGAGAAATTTTTTCCTGGATAGAGGGATGGCTGACAAATAGAAAAGCAGAGAGTTTGCATAAATGGGGAGAAATCAGAATGGGGGCACGCCACAAGCGGTGTTCCTTTAGGGGTCAGTGTTGGGCCCGTTGTTGTTCAAAGATTTACATAAACGACATAGATGAGGGAATAAAATACGACATAAGCAAATTTGCTGATGACACCAAAATAGGCCGTCCAATTCATTCTAATGAGGACATTAAGAGCACTCCAGGATGATTTGAATAGACTGACGCAATGGTCAGAGAAGTGGCAGATGCAGTTTAATATTGACAAATGCAAAGTTCTAAATGTTGGACAGTTAAATAACCATGCCACATATAAACTAAATAATGTAGATCTTAATACTAGCGATTGCGAAAAGGATTTAGGAGTTCTGGTTAGCAGTAATCTAAAACCAAGACAACGGTGCATTAGTGTTCCCAATAAAGCTAACAGAATTCTTGGCTTCATATCTAGAAGTATAAATAATAGAAGTCCTCAGGTTGTTCTTTAACTCTATATATCCTTGGTTAGGCCTCATTTAGACTATGCTGCTCAGTTCTGGTCACCGTATTACAGAATGGATATAAATTCTCTGGAAAACGTACAAAGGAGGATGACAAAGATGACCCCATGTATCAGAAATCTTCCCTATGAGGATAGACTGAGGGCCCTGAATCTGCACTCGCTAAAGCATAGAATTAGGGGGGATATGATCGAGGTGTATAAATGGAAAACAGGAATAAATAAAGGGCATGTAAATAGTGTGCTGAAAATTTCAGCCAAGGACGGAAATCGCAAGCAATGGTTTTCAAGTTGGAAAAATTCAGATTCAGGAAGGAATAGGAAAGCCCCCGGTTTGGGTAATAGAGTTTTTGGATGAGTGGAACAAACTCCCGAGTACAGTTATTGAGGCTAAAACGTTGTGTAGTTTTAAAAATAGGTTAGATAAATACAAAGAGTGGGTGTGGGTGGGTGTTGGGGTTGGACCTGACTAGCATGTGCTACTGGGTCTGGTACAGTGCTCCATCCTTGAGTGGGGATGGAAACCCGAACCCGGGTGGGTCATTGGGATGTCCCGGGGGGTAGGTCATTGGTCTAATCCGGGGTGGGTGGGGGGACATGGACCTGCTCCGCATGGGTCAGTAGGCCTGTTGCAGTGTTCCTTCTTTCTTATGTTCTTATGCATGCCTTCAGCATTCTATGGAGAGGGAGCATGGACACAGGTCATCCCACACACACTAAAATCAAAGGTGGCAATAAAGCAATTGCAAAGAACTACAGACCGATAGCACTAACATCCCATATCATAAAAATTTTTGAGAGGGTTCTAAGAAGCAAGATAGCCAACCACCTAGATACCCATCAGTTACACAACCCAGGACAACGTGGGTTTAGAGCAGGCCACTCCTGCCTGTCCCAGCTACTGGACCACTATGACAAGGTCCTGGATGCTGTAGAGGATAAACAAAATACAGATGTAGTATACTCAGACTTTGAAAAAGCCTTCAACAAGTGTGACCATGGTGTAAAAGCACGCAAAATGCATGATAAAGGAATAACGGGAAAAGTTGGTAGATGGATCTAGAACTTCCTGACAAATAGAACACAAAGCATAATAGTAAACAGAGCAAAGTCCCAGGCAGCCATGGTAAAAAGCTCTGTTCCACAAGGCACAGTACTCGCTCCCATTCTATTCCTCATCCTCATTTCTGACATAGACATGTAAGCCATAGCCCCATGTCTTCCTTTGCGGATGATGCCTGGATTACCATGGCAGTGACCTCCATTGAAGACACCGCAAGACTCCAAGCAGACACCAACCAAATCTTCGAATGGGCCGCTCAAAACAATAGGTTCAACGAGGAGAAATTTCAACTACTCAGATATGGGAAACTTGAGGAAATTAAAAATTTATCAGGGTATATGACAAATTCTAACCATACAATAGAGCAAAAAAGTAATGTGAAGGACCTGGGAGTGATAACGTCAGAGGATCTCGCCTTCAAACACCACAACAATGTATCTACCTCATCTGCTAGGAAAATGATAGGATGGATAATGAGAACCTTCAAAACTAGGGACGTCAAGCCCAAGATGATTCCCTTCAAATCGCTTGTGCTCTCTAGGCTGGAATACTAGTGTATACTAATCGCCCCCTTCAAGGCTGGTGACATTACAGACCTGGAGAGTTTACAAAGAACTTTCACGGCACACATAAGTACGATAAGGCACCTAAATTACTGGGAACGGTTGAAGGTCCTTGATCTGTATTCCCTGGAATGCAGGCGAGAGAGATGCATGATAATATACACTTGGAAGGTCCTGGAGGGGTTGGTACCAAACCTGCACACGAAAATCACTCCGTATGAAAACAAGACTCGGCAGGACATACAACATTCCCCCGATGAAAAGCAGGGGCGCCACGAGTACATTGAGAGACAATACAAGAAGTGTTCAGGGCCCAAGACTGTTCAGCTTCCTCCCAGCATACATAAGGGGAATTACCAATAGACCCCTGGCTGTCTTTAAGAAAACACTGGACAGGCACTGATCAACCGGGCTGTGGTTTGTACATCAGCTTGCTTGTAGCCAGCAGTAACAGCTTGTTTGATCAGACCCTGATCCACCATGAGGCCTGGACTCAGACCGAGCCACGGGGGCATTGACCCCCGAAACCCTCTCCTGGAGTTTACCTGGAGAGAGTTCCGGGGGTCAACGCCCCTGCGGCCCGGTCTGTGACCAGGCCTCCTGGTGGATCAGAGCCTGATCAACCAGGTAAACTCCAGGTAAGCTTATACATGGCTGACTTAACTTGGGAATATGTCAGTGTGCTTCAGTCTGTCTTTCGAATTGTAAGTTAGGTATTCAAATACATAGGATTTTCAACATACCTAGACGAATGTTCAATCAACCATTACTTAAGAATAAGAGGATGGAGTAGAGGTTGATATATTTATATGGGATTGCCATAGTTGTATTGTAATATTTGTATGCCAAAAGGGTAAGCAGGCAAATACTGGTGTATAGCAAGAGGTTTACGAGTAAAGGTTGATATTACAGGAAGTTGCTCGCTTTATGGACGCTCATCACGCTGGACATTACCGCCTCTACAACCTGTGCTCAGAGCGACACTACGATGTTTCACTCTTCCATGGTCGAGTGGAACGTTTCCTCATTGATGACCATAACGTTCCTCCCCTCGTGTGAGTTATGTATAAACATTCTTAACTCTTTTCAGGTAGGGTACCTTGATTCTGGTGAAAGGTTCTTAATACAAGGAATTGGAGATACCATTCCCTTCCTCGGATCAAACCTGATCACCTCCCACTCCCCAGTTGAAGTAACCCCCTCTAGATTTAGCATTTACCAATGAATATAATACATAGTGCTTCCATATTGAGAAATTACTCAACACCGTCTTAACCCTTTGACTGTCGCGGCCGTATATATACGTTTGTGAGGTACCGTGTTTGACGTATATATACTCATAAATTCTAGCGGCTTCAAATCAGGCAGGAGAAAGCTAGTAGGCCCACATGTGAGAGAATGGGTCTGTGTGGTCAGTGTGCACCACATAAAAAAAATCCTGGAGCACGCAGTGCATAATGAGAAAAAAAAAACTCCGACCGTTTTTTTTAATTAAAATGCCGACTTTGTGGTCTATTTTCGTATAGTATTTTTGGTTGTATTCTCGTTTTCATGGTCTCATTTGATAGAATGGAAACTATATTATAGAAATGGAGGTGATTTTGATTAATTTTACTATAAAAAGAACCTGGAAATGGAGCACAAAGTACAGGAAATGTTTGATTTTTGCCGATGTTCAAAAGTAAACAAATGATGTCATTGTCCAATAAATGTCCAAATAGCCATTCTAATACGCAGTCATGAATGGGTTGATGTAATTTTTACAATTATTACAGTATTGCAGTAGTCTGCATAACAGTAAATCTTCTATTTTTTGTTTGAATAAAATTTCAAAATAAAAAGCAAGAGTAATATCACAGGGACCTGGAGACATGACTGATGAACAAAGAAAATCTTATTTTAGAGCCAGGAATGTCTGCATTGTTCATTCTGGACCTTATTTTGAAATTGTCGTATTTTTTAATTTTCGTGAAATTGGCCAAATTGCAAATTTCTGACCATGTTATTGGGTAGTTGAAATCGGTAAATGGGCAGTTTCTTGTGCTCAATCGATAGAAAAAATAGAGTTCTGAAGAAATAGTTATGAGTTTGGTTGACTGGAATAACGGAATTAGCCGAAAATAGGGCTCAAAGTGGGCGAAATTGCCGATTTTTAAATATCGCCGAAGTCGCTAACTTCGCGAGAGCATAATTCCGTCAGTTTTCCATCAAATTTCGTTTTTTTGGTGTCTTTACAATCGGGAAAAGATTCTCTATCATTTCATAAGAAAAAATAATTTTTTTTTTTTTCGAATATTTTGCGACACCAGGAGCAACTTCAGGATTGGGCCCTTCGACAGTCAAAGGGTTAATTACCAGTTAAGTTTTTGCCTGGAAATATAGCTAGGGAATGAGTGATGATGAATGTCATGATCTTCTTTGGGTAACTTTACCTTGGTGGAAAATAATCGATGACTTAGAGGAAGAGAGAATATCAAGAATTTGTGGAAATAATTAATATTGCCTTCTTAAGCATATACAAGTACAGGAGGAAGAAAGGTAAGTATAAATTATTGGTATATTAACTTTCTTGTGGCTCCTGTTTGGTACTTAACTTTTGCTAGTGTAGAAGCATCACCTATAGATGTCTCTCTCCTCCTTGTTGCTTGCATCATCCACCAGATTCACTGGCTAGATTTAAGGCTATACAGTAGGGCCCCGCTTTATGGCATTCCGCTAATACACCGATGTCAAATTATGACCAAAATTTGCTATACGGCAAGTGGTCTTTCAAATACGGCGCCCCCAACCGATTTGTTTAAATTCTCCGTGACCACATCCATTACGTCTGGGAACTTTCCAAAATTTCAAATGTTTTATAGTTATTGTGTATTTTATATGTACTCTGATAATTATACTTATGTGTACCTGTACCTAAATATACTTACACACTGTGCTGGTGTGCAGGTACACATTAAAATCACAATTCAAATTACTCTCTGAACTGCATCATCTTCACCTCTCCTTCAGAGTGCAGGTACAGTGGACCCCTGGTATACGATATTAATCCGTTCCTGAGAGCTCATCGTATGCCAAAATTATTGGAAGGCGAATTAATTTTCCCCATAAGAAATAATGGAAATCAAATAAATCCGTGCAAGACACCCAAAAATACTATGAAAAAAAAAGTTTTACCACATGAAATATTAAGTTTAATGCACACAAACTGAAGAAGACATGCACAGTTAGTAGTACTCTAGTAACAATAGAATACATGACACTTACCTTTAATGAAGATCTGGTGATGATTGATGGGATGGTAGGAGGGGAGAGTGTCGAAGTTGTTAATGTTTAGAAGGGGAATCCCCTTCCATTAGGACTTGAGGTAGCAAGTCCTTTTCTGGGGTTACTTCCCTTCTTCTTTTAATGCCACTAGGACCAGCTTGAGAGTCACTGGACCTCTGTTGTACAACAAATCTGTCCATAGAGCTCTGTACCTCCCATTCCTTTACGATTTGTCTAAAATGGGCCACAACATTGTCATTGTAATAGTCACCAGCACGGCTTGCAATAGCTGTGTTAGGGTGATTTTCATCCATAAAGGTTTGCAGTTCAACCCACTTTGCACACATTTCCTTAATTCTTGAAGTAGGCACAGTGGATTCCACAACTGGCATAGGCTTCTCAGGGTTAGCCCCAAACCCTTCAAATTCTTTCTTAATTTCCATACTAATTCTCACCCTTTTTACCACAGGGTTGGCACTTGAAGCTTTCTTGGGGCCCATGGTGACTTACTTTGCAGAAACAAGCACCAAAAACACTGTGATAATATGGAATGTACCAAATGTATGCTTAGATGCGAGCACACTGGTTGGCTTGTAAACACTGGCACTCACGTGGACACGTCCCAGACGAATCACGTGTGGCAGAATTTTTAACGAGTGGCGAGGCAAAATTTTTGCATTAAAATGTATCGAATACTGGATTTAATGTATACCGATGGCATCGAATGCCGGGGGTCCACTGTACTATACTTTCCACCTCTAGGAGTCTGTTCATAAATGTTACTTTACTCATAATCCAGCAGCATGCTAAACTCCTAAAATCAAGTCTCTCCACTCACCCCTATCGAACACACTCACAAACACCTGCTGGTTGGTCAAGCTTCTACCAGTTAAAACTTTCACACTCTCCAGCCCTTCCTAGGATGACTCCTATCCCTCTTTCCACCTTGGATTTATACACCCTCTTGGTCATCCCATTATGCTCCTACCTCTCTAAATGGTCAATGCACTTCAACAATTCCTCCTCTGCCCTCTGAATAACAACTTTCATAGCCCTACACCATCTTCTAATTTTTACACTCCAAATTCTTCATAATATTCACACCATGCATTACTCTCAAATATAACATCTTCATTGCCTTCAGCTTTCTTGCTGCACTATTTAAATCCCATCTCGCACCCATATAAAAGGTTGGTACCACTTTATTCTGTCACAGTCCTCATTTTTGTTTCCTTAGACAAATTTCTTTCCACAAACACCCCAACATAAACCTGCATTGTTCCCATCATCTGTTCTTTGGTTTACCTCATCTTTCATAGGCCCATCTGCCATCATGTTCATTCCCAAATATTGCATATGAATACAGCATATTCACTTTCTCCATACTTATTCCTTCTAATCTGATATCCAATATACATTGCCTAAACTTTTTGTTACTCTCATCACCTTGCTCTTTTTTTGTGTTTGCTTTTAATTTACTTACACACACTTTTCCATTCTTCCATCAACTTAAAAATTTCTCTTCAGAATCTCCCAAAAAACTGCTATCAGCAAAGAGCAACAGTGACAACTCAGTCTTCATATCAGATTAATACACTTAGATTTTACACCTCTTCCCAACAACTAGACATTTGCTTCTTTAATAACCCCTCTCAGTTGAATTTAACTCATTCCAGATGTCAGTTTGACAACCAAGATCAAAAACAACCAAAGCAATTTTTCCACAATGAATAATGTAAATAGAATTAATCTGTTCCAGACCCCAAATGACAACATAATAATTTATTAATAATAATGGACTAACTACTACATAAAACAATGTATAAAATTATACAGCACAGGGAAACTGTAAAAATGAATACTAAATGAAAATTTTACTGAAATACTGTACAGTAAATGAAAATTTAACTGCCTCTTACAATGTCAGAGGAGAGCTAATGGCAAAATTCTAGCGACTTCAAATCTTGTGGGAGAAAGCTAGTAGGCCTACATGTCTGCATGGTCAGTGTGCGCAGTATAAAAAATAGAATCCTGCAGCACGTAGTGCATAATGAGAAAAAACTGTGACCATGATTTTGGTTTAAAACAGCGACTTTTCAGTGTATTTTCGTATGATATTTATGGTTGTATTCTCATTTTCTTGGTTTCATTTGATAGAATGGAAGATATATTACAGAAATATAGATGATTTTCAATGGTTTAAAGACTAAAGTAGCTTGAAATTGAGCTCAAGATAGTGGAAATATTTGATTTTTGCTGAAGTTCAAGAGTAAACAAATCATGTCATGCATCCACATGATATTATTTATATAATTATGCAGTAGTCTGAATAACAGTAACTCTTTTATTTTTTGTGTGAATAAAAATTCAAAATGAAAAGCAAATGTTATTTTAGAGGGGCCTGGAGATGACTAATGAACAGAGAAAATATTATTTTAGTGCCAGGAATGTCTGCATTGTGTATTGTGGACCCTATTTTGAAATTGGCCTTTCTTGAATTTTGTGTGAAATTGGCCAAATTGGTAATTTTAGATCACTTTATTGGGTAGTTCAAATAGGTAACTGGGCAGTTTCAAAGGTGGATTCAGCAGACTATCATTCCATAATATTCACCTCTTTGTAGTAGGTTCATAGATAGCAACTATTGAAGTACATGCTCCCATCTTATCATGTGTGAAATGGAAACCTAGTCTACACTCTGACATAATTGCTGTATTTTTCTGTCTCATGAACATATAAGAAAACAGGAAAATTTTTACAAGCATTTGCTTCTTTTGTGTGTGTTGCTTAATAGTTCTTAATCTTGCAGTATTTCTTATCTAGTAATTTGAGGCCTGTTCTGAGAGTGGGTCGCATAGGTGATGATCCCCACAACCATTAGCAGTTATGTATAAGGCAGCAAATGATGAAAACTAGCGGGAAATACACATGAATGCATACAATTAGGACACCTTCGTACAATTGGTTTTGTTCCTAGTACCTTGTACCTAGTACCTATTGCCTGAGCATAATAGAGGCTCTCTTTGCACTGCAACCCATTATTGCAAATACATAACCTCAGTGTACTACTTGCAAAGAAATAAATTTGAATTTGAATACTGCACGTGTTTCAAGTGATCGAGGTTCTGGGACTGGAAGACCTTAAGTCAGGGTGTGCTAAGTGTATTCATTAGTGTCCATTTTCTTCAAAGGATACAGCACTGGTCAAAAATGGCATTACAGTATAGGTAGGAAATGCCCAGTTGATGACCCTGTCTTACAACCAGGGACCTAGAAATCTTTTTCCAAGAGCCATAGGTTTTTTAAAAGGTTAGATCTTGTAATTGGGTGGTGCACTGGATGTAAGTGTAACTGCTTTTTTGTAGTAGCAGAAAAAATGATAAGTAAATGGCAACCACTATTCATTATTTTTCATCATTAATTATGTGCATCCCTCTTGTTCTGTTGCTTCCTGAATAAGTGGTCACCTACTTATAACAGAGCAAGCAAAGTTGCTATATTGTTGAATACATAGACACTTTCAGAAGATGTGCACTTGGTAGGATCTCATGAAATAGTTTAATCAATGACTGATCATGGGTTGTTTTCTGCTTATGCAAACTCTCACTACATCTGCCCTTAACAATATCAGTAAAAAAATGTTGAATGTTGTCTAATTCTGTATGTTTTTTCATAAACAGGGATATGGTCAAATTCAGTGCCAGTGTACGTGACTGGATGAATCAGGATGAGAAAAATGTGATAGCCGTCCACTGTAAAGGTGGCAAGGGGCGGACTGGGACCATGATCTGTGTCTTTCTTATTGATCTTGGGATATTCCGTGATGCTGAACATTGTCTTGGTTACTTTGGGGATCGTCGTACAGACAAGAATGTAGCTTCCAAGTTCCAAGGAGTAGAAACTCCCAGTCAGGTATGTAAAATGTGACTGTTTCAAAAATTAATGTTCAGTCTGAAAGGGATTTTAAACAATGAGAAAATACATGAAGAAGAATGTTAATTGTTGCATTGTGGGTCAGATTTACGTAAAAGTTGCCTTGTGTGGGATTGGGCTGTGGGAGCTGTGATACCCAAAATCAACTCCAGGTAATATATTCCTTGGGGATTAATCATAATAACCACACAGTACTAAAAGCAATCATCATATACATACTATATTTTCCCTAGTATAGTGTTGCTTTAGTTCTTAATCTTCACAAAATTTGAAGCAAACAATAATAATCTATAGGTATACTGCATTGTATAATAGCCAGATATAGTTTCTCCTGTGCCTTATCTGGTAGGCACTGTGCTTGTCTGTAGAGGAATTTTATCCTGGCATTCACTTTTTATACTACTGTAAACTATGAACTATTACCTGATGGGCATGAATAAAAGGATATTCCTGGATGCTCCACAGAAGTTACATAATAATAATTATGTATAATATAATAATAACAATACACGTATAATACTATATAAAAATAATAATACGTATAATAATATAATAATACATAATAGTACAATAATAATAATTATAATAATAATACTCCTAGGTAGTAGGTTGGTAGACAGCAACCGCCCAAGGAGGTACTGTACTACCGTCCTGCCACATGGAGTGTAAAACAAAAGCCTGTAATTGTTTTACATGATGGTAGGATTGCTGGGGTCTTTTGTCTGTCTCATAAACATGCAAGATTTCAGGTACGTTTTGCTACTTCTACTTACACTTAGGTCACACTACACATACATGTACAAGCATATATATATACACACACTCCTCTGGGTTTTCTGCTATTTTCTTTCTAGTTCTTGTTCTTGTTTATTTCCTCTTATCTCCATGGGGAAGTGGAACAGAATTCTTCCTCCGTAAGCCATGCGTGTCGTAAGAGGCGACTGAAATGCCGGGAGAAAGGGGCTAGTAACCCCTTCTCCTGTAAATACAGTGGACCCCCGCATAACGATCACCTCCGAATGCAACCAATTATGTAAGTGTATTTATGTAAGTGCGTTTGTACGTGTATGTTTGGGGGTCTGAAATGGACTAATCTACTTCACAATATTCCTTATGGGAACAAATTCGGTCAGTACTAGCACCTGAACATACTTCTGGAGTGAAAAAATATCGTTAACCGGGGGTCCACTGTATTACTAAATTTGAAAGGAGAAACTTTTGTTTTTCCTTTTGGGCCACCCCACCTCGGTGGGATACGGCCGGTGTATTGAAAGAAAGAAAGAATAATAATAATTATAATAATAATACTCCTAGGTAGTAGGTTGGTAGATAGCAACCGCCCAGGGAGGTACTACCGTCCTGCCAAGTGAGTGTAAAACTGAAGCCTGTAATTGTTTTACACGATGGTAAGATTGCTGGTGTCTTTTTTTATCTGTCTCATACACATGCAAGATTTCAGGTATGTCTTGCTACTTCTACTTACACTTAGGTCACACTACACATACATGTACAAGCATATATATACACACCCCTTTGGGTTTTCTTCTATTTTCTTTCTAGTTCTTGTTCTTGTTTATTTCCTCTTACCTCCATGGGGAAGTGGAACAGAATTCTTCCTCCGTAAGCCATGCGTGTTGTAAGAGGTGACTAAAATGCCGGGAGCAAGAAGCTAGTAACCCCTTCTCCTGTATATATTACTAAATGTAAAAGGAGAAACTTTCGTTTTTCCTTTTGGGCCACCCCGCCTCGGTGGGATACGGCCGGTGTGTTGAAAGAAAGAAAGAATACTCCTAGGTAGTAGGTTGGTTGACAGCAACCGCCCAAGGAGGTACTGTACTACCGTCCTGCCAAGTGAGTGTAAAACGAAAGCCTGTAATTGTTTTACATGATGGTAGGATTGCTGGTGTCCTTTTTTAAACATGCAAGATTCCAGGTACATCTTGCTACTTCTACTTAACTTAGGTCACACTACACATACATGTACAAGCATATATATACACAAACCCCACTGGGTTTTCTTCTATTTTCTTTCTAGTTCTTGTTCTTGTTTATTTCCTCTTATCTCCATGGGGAAGCGGAACAGAATTCTTCCTCCGTAAGCCATGCGTATTGTAAGAGGTGACTAAAATGCCGGGACCAAGGGGCTAGTAACCTCTTGTCCTGTATATATTACTAAATGTAAAAGGAGAAACTTTTGTTTTTCCTTTTGGGCCACCCTGCCTCGGTGGGATAGGGCCGGTTTGTTGAAAGAAGAAAGAAAGATGTACGCACTGCGTATAATTTAGTTTGACAACACCACCACAATGCTCACCAATTCACATGTGCTTATGGAGCTACCCTCACCGTGCAAGGAATTCTCATGATTTCCTTACGTTTTGTGCAGTTAATTTGCCAGGTTTCTTTCTTCTAACTATGGGTCCTAAGAAAGCAAGAGCAAAGGACAGTGCCGAGAAGAAAAAGAGGATGATTTGCATGGGATTAAAGCAAGAAATCATTGGTAAGCACAGACTAGGTACGAGGGTTGAGGACTTGGTGAGTGAGTACAAGCGTAGTGTGGTGAGATAAACATAAAAATTGTACAAAGTAGTTATAAGAAAAGTGTGAACTCCTGACAGGATATGCCGCTCTGCATTTCTTCTCCAAGGTATGTATATGTCATATGTACACCAGATCTAATTCAGTTAGCCTCACAATCTGTTTTCTCTTATAATAACATCTCTGATGTTTTCATACATTATTACTGCACCTATTACATACATAGAACACTTAACTCTGATATTAACCCTCCCCTCAAACATCTCCTTGCCAACCTCAACAGAACACATGACCATAACACAAGGCACAGATCACTCTTTGATGTTCCTCGTGTCCATCTCACGTTATGCAAAAACTCAATGCACATAAAAGGCCCTAAAATCTGGAATTCATTACCTGTAAATATAAAAGAAACACTACCTGTTTATAAATTCAAGTCTATTCTCAAAGATCACTTACTCACTCAAAACCAAATAAATACTGAATAACTGAACCTTATAAATTGTATATCCTAAATGTTACTCACAATTATATCACACAAATGTTAAACCTAGGACCCAATCTAACTTTGTTATTTTTTTAAATACACTACCTAACAGAATACTCCATTCGACTGAATGTACAGCAAAGCATGCAACCATATGACCTGTCTTTGTAATACTCATTTGTGCTTTATAGTTATCTGTTTACAATAATGTTTTATCACTGATTTCATCATTGCTTAGTTAATCTTAAGTTAATTTTAAGCCAGCCCATAATGCTATGCATATAAGTGGCTTTGGCATGCTGCTCTTACCTGTATTTTTTTGTACCTCTGTATGTATGCTAAAATTACTAAATAAATAAATAAATAAATAAAATAAATAGTGAGAATGCGCGACCACAATCCTCCTCCCTCTGCCTTCCACGTAATGACATAATATTTTATTCATTCTAGAGTGTATATCAGATTTCTATGTTATTTATTTTGTTTATTATGCTATATTAGATGAATTGTGACAGATAAATAAGCCATAGAGTTGATATTAGGGTTATTTTGTCATGCCTCCTGAGAACAGGAATTCAGCTGGAACGAATTAATTGCATATCAGTTAATTTAAATGAGGAAAATTGACCCAGCATACAAACAAATCAGGATACAAACAAGTCCATGGAACAGATTAAATTCGTAAGCCGAGGTTTCACTGTATTCACTATTGAAATTGAGACGTCATTAGTACAGTGGACTCTTGCCTAACGCTATTAATCCGTTCCTGAGAGCTCAACATTAGGCAAAATTATCGTTAGGCGAATTAATTTTCCCCATAAGAAATAATGGAAATCAAATTAATCCGTTCCTGACACCCCAAAGTATGAACAAAAAAAAATTTTTACCACATGAAATATTAATTTTAATACACACAAACTGAAGAAGACATGCACAGTTACATGACACTTACCTTTATTGAAGATCTGGTGATGATTGATGGGATGGGAGGAGGGGAGAGCATTGATGGTGTTAGTGTTTAGAAGGGGAATCCCCTTCCATTAGGACTTGAGGTGGCAAATCCTTTTCCGGGGTTACTTCCCTTCTTCTTTTAATGCCACTAGGACCAGCTTGAGAGTCACTGGACCTCTGTCGCACAACATATCTGTCCATAGAGGCCTGTACCTCCCGTTCCTTTATGACATTCCTAAAGTGTTTCACAACATTGTCAGTGTAATAGTCACCAGCATGGCTTGCAGTAGCTGTGTCAGGGTGATTTTCATCAAAAAAGGTTTGCACTTTAAGCCACATTGCACACATTTCCTTAATTTTTGAAGTAGGCAACTTCTTCAATTTCTCTATCCCCTCCTCTGAAGCAGTTTCCTCAGGTGTGGCCTCTTGCTGTTGAAGATGATCTAGCAGCTCATCAGTGGTTAGTTCTTCATTGTCCTCCTCCACCAACTCTTCCACATCCTCCCCACTAACCTCCAACCCCAACGACTTCCCCAATGCCACAATGGATTCCTCAACTGGCATAGGATTCCCAGGGTTAGCCTCAAACCCTTCAAAATCCCTTTTGTTTACACATTCTGGCCACAGTTTCTTCCAAGCAGAGTTCAAGGTCCTCTTAGTCACTTCCTCCCAAGCCTTACCTATAATGTTTACACAATTGAGGATGCTAAAGTGATCTCTACAAAACTCTCTTTGAGTCAATTGAGTTTCTGAGGTCACTACAAAGCACCTTTCAAACATAGCTTTTGTGTATAGTTTCTTGAAGTTGGAAATGACCTGCAGGTCCATGGGCTGCAGGAGAGGGGTGGTATTAGGAGGCAAAAAGTTGACCTTAATGAAGCTCATTTCCACAGAAAGTCGCTCTGCCACGTCTGAAGGATGACCAGGAGCATTGTCTAATACCAGGAGGCACTTAAGGTCTAATTTCTTTTCAATTAGGTAATTTTTCACAGTGGGGGCAAATGCA